GGTGCAGCCTGAACATGGGATTTTGCCAAGCCTTCCAGATGATTCTGAAGTGCCACTGAGGCTGAAAACTACTGCCCTATGGAAAAAGGTAATTAACCTTTCAAGAACCCACTGGATGCCAGATCCAACACCGAGCCTTTTTCCTGCATTAACCTTTTTATTTATCCCAGTTTCCCTGTGAAGTGAGCTTATCTTCCTTTTACAGATAAAACTGAGGTTTTAAGGTTATAAGCTGTCCAGGTGGAGTTTGATTCCTTGTCCATTTAACTCCAAAGCCTATTCCTCTTCCACTCAATGGCCTCAGAGAACTCAGAATATGACAAAAGAAACACTTTATGCAAACTCTCCAGAAGCCAACATAAGAGATTGTCTCATTCATTTATTTATTTATCTGAGCAGGGATCTTCCCTGTCTTCTAGGTAATATGTGGAAGATGGATCAGAAACTATTTAATCAGAGACTTTGAGTGTTTCAAGGGGAATGTGGCTGCAGTGCCCCATCTCCAAAAGGCCCCAGTGCTGTCCCAGCATGGCTGTCCCTACACAAAAAGACACATGCCAAGTATTCCTTCGACTTCAAGCAAGGATCTCCAAGCACAACATAATTAATAAAATCACTCACATCCTGTTTAGATGAGTAGTGTTTTATATGTACAAATTCCCCTCTGCCCCCAGGCCCTCCAAGGGTATGAGAATGTTTCCAATTTTAAAGAGTGAGCAATAGAGTAATTGAAAGGAGCTGTATCTTGGCAAACTCACAAGACCTCAAAGGCATTTATAGTGACCTATATGAGAAAACATGGTGACCACAAAGTGTGTCATAATGGCTTGTCAGCCATGCTGCGTTAAAGGGTTCAAAGATAGGAAAGACAGGGCAAGAATAACACATTCCGTTCTTAGGCATCAGATACCCCTGGAATTGGTAGTATAATCTGTTTGGTCAAACCTCTGAAGATCTAGAAGCAGTGAAGTGGTGACATGAGCTGATGATCCAGTTTCTTGGGTTAATCGAGGCAGTAGGGACAGACGGAGCCAATTAAGTAGCTGGGAAGCCCAATGATAGATGAGTCATTATAGGAAAGTGCAAAGATAATGCCATTGGGAAAAGCAATTTAAGTCATTCATGCACTTCCAGGCCAGGAAATCCTTCTAGACTTCGAGGAGAAACATGTAGGAATCATGAGGCTCAGCCTGATGAAGTCATCTGTTCGTTGTGCAGCTAACGATCAACGAGGGGGCCGAATGCGCAGGGGGACAGGCCATATGGAACACATTTTGGTGGCTGGGATGCATCTCTGTGCTTTCATTTCAATCACCTTTAAAATAAGCCTTATCACTGCCTCCCTTTCTTTTCCTTCTTTACATAATCTCCCTCTACTCCTTCTGTTGTTATCTCTCTAAACACACAATTTCAATGTATGGATGAATTTTGTTTTTTGTTTTTTTTTTTTTTTTGAGACAGAGTCTCGCTTTCTTGCCTAGGCTAGAGTGAGTGCCGTGGCATCAGCCTAGCTCACAGCAACCTCAAACTCCTGGGCTCAAGCAATCCTGCTGCCTCAGCCTCCCGAGTAGCTGGGACTACAGGCACGAGCCAACATGCCCGGCTGATTTTTATATTATATATATTAGTTGGCCAATTAATTTCTTTCTATTTTTATGGTAGAGACTGGGTCTCGCTCAGGCTGGTTTTGAACTCCTGACCTTGAGCAATCCGCCTGCCTCGGCCTCCCAGAGTGCTAGGATTACAGGCGTGAGCCACCGCGCCCGGCCGAATTTTGTTTTGAAAGGAGAACAAATATTCTCCTTCCTAATTTCTAGTTCTGCATTTCCAATATACTACTTTCTGTACAAATACAAGTTTCTAAGGAACACCTACAAACAAACACGTAAAAAAATAAATAAAAAATAAAAAAAAAACAGGGCTTTTTTTTTTAAAGCACCAAGGAGGCTGTGTCTATGCAAAAAAAAAAAGGAAAAAAAATTATACAGATGTTTCTATATCTCTCTGGATCCCTTACTTGTATTCATGTTGCAAATCTAGAAGTGAGGGGGGTGCTTTCTTTGAGGGGAAAAGAGGTAGGTGGGGAAAGGATATATGAATTAAAGAAAATCATACTTGGAACTACCTGTTTCTTTAGAAACAAATTCCCAGCCAAGGGCCCCAAATAAAGGTTATCAATGACTTATGTTGATATATCCAATGAACACTATTCCATCTCCTGGTTTATCTTCTCCCTGTTTAGTTGATCCTATTTTGTCTCCCTTTTAGGTTCATCTTCCTCTTCCCAAACCTAAATGTTAGATTCTTCAATCTCTTTAGTCTTGCCCTCCTCTGCCTTTTTTTTTTTTTTTTTTTTTTTTTTTTTTTTTTTTTTTTTACAATCTACCCATCTTTCCAGCCTAATTTGGTTCCACACTCAACCACATCTTGCCTGGTTCACAACTACTCTGTTCTACAAACCACAAGACCATTGTACCGGTTTCCTAAGCCTGGAATACACTCCTCTAGCTTTGTGCCTGGTTAATACTTTCTTGTCCTTCAGATCTTTGTTTACTCATCATTTGTTGACTTTCTCAGATTTGGGAGATTGGTCCAATCTCCCTATATGTGAGCTTTCATAATGTCACATGACATTTCTTTGCAGTGCCCATCAGAGTTGCAATTTTATATCCATTTGTGTGATGATTTGATTAATGTCTGCATCCCCCACTAGAATATGAGCTCTTCTCTGTGTTAATATCTTATGCTTTCTGCTGCTACTAACTAACCTTTCAGGTTCCACCTTTCTTCTTCCTAGGTTGCCATAGTTTCTAACGACCAGTGGCTAACTCTGTTTCATAGATTCTGCTAATAAGCTTTTCTATGTCTTTCAATTTCTTCTCTTACTATCAACTGTTAATTCTCTCTAAATTTTTCACATCCACACTGTTATAGCAAGAATATCTGATTGGTTTAGTTCGTATTTGTCATCTTTTCATCAAAGTTCCTATGATAGACCAATTGATGGTTCCTTGGCCAACACAAAGATGGACTGCCCTTGGGTCAAGGGCATCCTCCATCCATAGGCTGTGGCCAGGAGAATGGGGTTGAGAGGTCAATTTCTCTGAGAAGGAACAATGAGACAGATCCTTCCCCATCATGACCTTCTTGCTGAGAGCTGGCAGAGTTACAGAGGGATCTTCCTTGAAACTTGGGTTGGGTGAAGGATAGCAAGAGAAAACAAGCATGGATAGTTGGGGCATTTAATATCCTGTTCCTTGGCTGCCATTCCACTCAACTAAATCTCCATCCTTCCACATATACTATATTAAGATGTCACAGAGGTTAAATGAGCAAAGGAAAACTCTTAAAGGAAGATATAAAGTATTTGGAAAGTGATAGAGCCTAGTGGGAAAATATCAGATGACTAGATAAAGAAAGCACCCTTTGGGGGCCTCTCTCATTCTGGTTCACCCTTATTCCTTGGGTGCAGCCTCCACCCAAAGTGAAGGGGGCCCTGGGCTCCAACCCCTCACAACAAGAGACTGTCAAAAGCTTGCCTAGCCTTCAATTTCTCAACTGCCTCTACTAGAAAATAAATTGGTAGAGTTATGAACCAAACAGCTGGCAGAGATGAGAGTTGTATTGATCTCAAGGAGAAGAGATGGCCACCATCCATTACCTGGCCTAATAGGACCAGGTTGTGTACCACCATCAAACTGATAACCCAGGGATGGAGCATCCCAATTGATCAAGCTCAGGTCTCATGCTACCCTGGTAGTAAAGAGGAAAGGCAGGACCAACCCTACCCAAACATCATGGTCCCCTGGAGGGAAGGATGCTGAGCAGATTCCCACTGCTCAAGCCTTTGTAAAGGCACAATCTGGGGGCATTTCTCTAGAAAAGTACCAGATGACCATGACTGACATGTTTACTGATAATTGTACCCTTTTTCCATTTGGAGAATGACAAACATGCATGAGCAATGATTAAAATATTGAGTAACCTCTAGAGCAGGATGTCTGACCAGTTTGAATGAACATTCAACCAGTCAGAATGGGGGTCAGGTGAAGACAACTAGGAAGACTACAACAACGCATTCCTGCTGGATATAGGTCCTGCGAACTTTGGGCTAATTTCCAGGGGACTTAAGTGTTTAATCCTCTTCACTCTTATTGAGCAAACACTATCTAGTTTTGGCTGGTTTACTTACCTACCTATTTAGAGGCAGGACTGGAGTAGACAGGCATCTTCAGGACTGAACTCTTTCTGTTCTTGAATTCCCTTTGTCAACTCATGTGTATGATCTCTGCACTGGAACCCATGCAGAACAGAGGAGATGCTTTTTAGCTGAAGTATCAATAACCTTGATACCGACACATGTACCTCACTTATCCTTCTGTTTTGAGCTAACGCTGTTCTTTTTTCTGGCTGGGGAAAGCAGAAGACCCTCCTCTCTATTACTCTACCACTGCAAATGCCTCGCAAAACAGCCCTGGTCTCAGAGGGACCTATCTTTGTCCAGGGATGTGCTACTCCTTCACATTCAGGTTGGATGAAGGATCCTTTGATTAGAGACTTAGATGAGAAGCAATTTAATGGGCCAGCTCAGCTTGGCTAAAAAGCATCTACCAACAACTGATGTGTAATGTATGTTTATATTACTTCTTGTCACACTCCCTTCTCCTGAGTTAACATTTTTTGAAGCACAGAGTCCACACACCCTAGGTACCTCCCCTGCCTCTCACCAGCCCCACAGTCTAGCCCAGCTTTAGTTGCTTGCAGTACCTAGTAGCACCATCCTCCTTCAACTCCTGCCTTCCAGGCTCAAGGCAGAGTCCTGGACATCAGTCCCCACACCTGCTCCCCAGGAGATATTTCCCCTCCCTACTTTGGTCCCCCCCGCCCCCGCAAGTGATGCAGGCCTGCAGAAAGACTTAGAAACACTTGCCAAGTTGACCTGACTTTTGCTTCCCTCTTCCTAATGGGAACTAATAGATTCCATGCCTGTCTCTTGTCAGGATTGCAAAGAGTACGGCAACTTGCAAAAAACACAAGATACTTCAGACAGAGACTGCAGAAAATGGGATTCATTATCTATGGCAACGAGAGTTCTCCTGTCGTTCCTGTGCTCCTGTACATGCCTAGCAAAGTAGCGTAAGTATGCAAGGACTCTCAGTATCACATCTAAAATCCCCAAGGGACCTAAGATGGTAACACTATGAGGCTTGTTGGCACAGGCATCAGCTTATGCATGTGGAATGGAGTGATCAACTTCGGAATTCACTTGTATAGCTTCTCAGAAGCCACCTGCCAGTTCATCAGCCCTCCCATGGGTCTTATAGGAAGGGAACCAGGTGCTAAGACCTGCCTCTCTCCCTAAATGGAAACTCTGTGAATTCAGTGAAATCACCTATCTCCCTCAACCTCAACTGCAATTTAAGGATGATCCTGAACTTCCTTCTGGCCTAAGACCTTTCTCAGAGAGAACTTCTGAAGACTCTCTCTCCCAATATTACCATAAAAACAATGTTATCAGTCCCTATGCTTTCTCCCCTTGAATTCTGACCATCCCCAGAAGAGGGCATCCTCATTTTAAGTGTGGGGAAGCTGAGGCTGAGAATAGCTAAACAACTTGCCAAAAGTCAAACAGTGGTAAAACTAAGACATAAAAAACCCAAGCCTAGGCTCACTTCAAATCTCATGCTCAGTTTTTATGCCTCTACTATGGATTGTTTTCCATTGATTGCACCTCTGAAATTGAACATTAGCAGCCAGTACATTAAGAGGAAAACATTAATTTTTCTCAGTATGGCATGGACAATTTTATACATGAGCCATTCTCCAACCTGCTAGAGACCCATGACCTCTGTTATTACAAGGAAGTTAACTATTGTAAAATCATCCCTGAAGGTAAAATGTTTGTGTCACTGATCAAGTACATGAGGGGAATTAATACTCTACATAACATTTATCAGATTCTAGAGGTTCCAACTCCCCTCCAACATAACCCATCACTGGAACTTTGTGTTTGACTCTCTGTCTGAATAGATTGGCAGAGTATTTGAAGAATAGAAAAATAACAATAAGAGAGGTTTGGGGTCTGGTAGTTGAAACTCATAGGGGGTAAGACTGAGTTATAAATTCCAAAAAGACTGGTGGTCTTGTGTCATTTCACCACAGCAAAATAACAACCAGTTAAAACATACACATGAGGGATTTTTTTTTAGCATGCCACACCATTACCACCAATTGGTCCTTTGTTCACGGCTCTGGGTTGAGTAAATAGTGCATGGAGTGTTCAGGGAGATAGCGTGCTACAGAAATGTTACACCCATACCACTCTGTGCTAATGGTAGGAAGGGTGGACAATGGTGATTCCAAGTAGCAGATAATCCAAAACCTTTTACCATCTGATTTTGGAAGACACACATACACACACCAAAAAAAGCCACATTTATTCAATGGTTGGGTAAATGATGTGTTCTGGAAGAAAAATTCCAAACTTAGCTCATGTCTATCTAATATTTCATCATTCACTCAAAAGAAGGCAACAAAACTAAACTTGTCCAGGGTGTAATGTGCACAATGCGGAAGTAGTCCAGTGGCAGTAGGGAGTGTGCCAGATACTTCCAATTTTAATGATGGAAGCTGGAATTAGAATCTCAACAGGTCGGAAAAAATGAAACAACTCAATAAGAAGAGTCAATGCATAGTAAAAATAAATGCATTTAAATTCAAGAATTCAATTGTACAATATGCTTCATGCACAGGTTATGCTGTACAGTGGAGTGAGGAAGTTTGGCATCAAAAAGAATTTTGACTCTGCCTATTCCTAGCTGGGGTACCTTAGACAAGTTACCCAACCTCCTGAAGTCCCAGTTTTCTCATTTATAAAATGGGATATAACAGCATCTGCTTCATAAAGTCATTGTGAAGATTAAACAAGATAAGATCCATACAGCTTTTGGCATATTGCCTCTTATATAGGAACTATTCAGTGTTAGCTGTGACTATTAATCATATTCATAACGTGCAGAAAGCACTTAAAGTAGTACTTGGAATACCATAAGCATTCAATCAGTGGTAGCTATTAGTATTACTACCACTCTGCTGCAATGATGATTATTATTAGTTTCAAGTGAGTGCAAGGTTCTGTCCCCATAGTTGCATGGCTCCTTAAGATAGTTATTACAATCTTGGTTACATTAATAAAAATAGGACTTCCAGGAAAATAATAGGTAAAATCCTACTATACTTTCCATCAATATTCCTATACTGAATACTGGAAAATAAATCAAACTGTTCCTTTCAATTTAAGATTGTTTTTAGGAGGAGCCAACATTGCAGAATACTGATTATATGCTAAGTAAGGCTATTAGACCTCAGTGACTACCCATGGATAGTGGGATGCCTATCTCTAGTTTATAAATTAGGATGCTGAGAGTCAAAAAGGTCAAACTATTTTCTAAGACTCACACAGGTTGTAGGCAGCAGAGCCCAGAATTCAAAGCCAGTTCCACTCGCCTCCTGAACCAGAGCTCTTTTGAACACAATCTCTCAAGCTTTAGTCCATAGGAAAAAAAAATACACAACTCATTAAAGCAATACAGAGTATAAATTTAACTCTCTTTCATGTCATCTTTGGTGATTCAAAATGCATCGATCACTATGATAGAAAAAAAATCTCATTGTTTGGATTGCCTAAGGAAACTGAGAACAGGTTAGTTACAAAAGGTAATATCATCTATTGCTGGCAGGAGTTGCTGGCAAGAGTTTACCCTGCTGCCTGGCTTTGTTTCCTTGTATGATATTTCTTCCATGGAAAGTTCATATGTAGAGAAGCTTTTGAAACAGGGAGTTAATTGTATAAGCCAGTGTGGAAGCACTTCTTTCATTTGTTCATTTAAAAACTTTGATCTTGTTAAAGAACTGTGATTTCTCCACATTTCCACCTATGCAGAATAAAAATATAATATCCAGCCAGTTATCCTTTTGAACAAGGTCCTGTTACAACTGTACCACTGGACTTCTCTATAGAGTTCGGTATAATATGATTTCATCTGTAAAATATGCACTTAAATAATCAGGAGTATATTGTATTTAGCACTTGATACAGGGTTTGCATTTTCCTTCCACTGTCCTCTTCATACATTTGGAAGATGGTGGTACACAAAATGTAGTGATGCTGCATGTAATACTAATTATTTGATTATTCTTATTAATTATTATTTCACATCATTTAGTTTCTTTTAGCCTATGCCAGCTTGAATTTGCTTTGGGAAGTGCAAACACAGAGGCTCATTATATAAAAATGTTCAGTGCAACCAAATACATTAACTTAAGGACATTAGCTTTAGTAATGTAAGTTTTCAACTCAAAAGTGCTCCAGGGAGGCCCCAGATTAGCCTAATGAATCAACACAGTCATATATTTTGCTCTACATTCTTTGGCAAAACTTGCTTCCTTTGGTACAAAGAGAAACATGCAGACAGTGAAAGCGGTCTTCTGGGAATCCCGAAAACTGGCCTGAGATCATGGGTCAGGTGGTTTGTACTCTAGCAATAAAAGCACTTGACTTGTTTCTCAGACAATTATGAGCTCTCATTCTGTGCAGTTCCGTGGGCAGCCTTCCATAGGGTGATCAAGAAAGAGAAAGAACAGCCTCTGTTTTCAAGCTTTCTCAGCTAGAAAGCTTCATCTCCTTACAGCCTTCCCAGTGGAAATCAAAGGGCAAATCTTGCCTTGCCCAAGCCAGGGGGCCAGATGGGCTGTGAGTCCTGTAGGTCTCCCAGTCTCCGTTGCTTTATTTGATAATCTACGTTCTGCCTGAAGCAACCGAAAGGCAGACTGCTAGACAGCACAGCGGATGAATGGACGAGCAGGCTCACTCTCAGCGTCTGGTTCAAGAATTCTTCCTGAGTTATGACAGGAAGGTTTCCCTGGTGCAGTCAGCTTCCAGCCTAAAACAATACACCAGCAACCGCTTAATGCTAAGAACAGATCTGAGGTTTTTACCTCACTTTATGGGTAGAGCCACCCAGTCATTAAGGTTTCCTGCGAAGGGTAACAGAGCCCAAATGGGAAAAGAGTCACTTGGGAGGATATACTTTTTTTTTATCTGTCCTTGGTTCTCAGCACAAGAAATTTACAGACTTTGAGCTTCATATTCTAGAATCATCACTGAGATTAGCTCTGGAAAAGAAAGAGGCTAGAAGGATGAAGGAAAGGGAACATAGCTTATAAAGGTTTTTCCCGGCATCAAAGAACTTCAGAGTTCTCTGACTTATATCCTATAGGCTGCATCTACCCACCAGATTCTTGGTGCATGCACACTTTCCTATCTCCGCCCTGCCCCATTCCCTTTTAACCCAGTCAATGGGTTTATTATCCCTGTGCATACGGGTATGTTCATTCAAACATTAAAAAAATACATAAGAGGAGACTCTTGCTATTTCTCGTCTATGATTTGATGGAAAATATAATCTTCGGCCCCGGAGTGGGAATATTGGCTTGGGGTTGGATACTGCAAACACTCTGATGCTGGTCTTCAAATTATGGTCACTAAAAATAGGCTTATTGGAATTTCCACATATTATTGGTATTAAGTTCTTAAGACATACAGGTTTACTCTTAATATATATTCCTTCTTTATGTAATTGAATTGTATTAGCTGTTTGGTTTTTATACCTTGGACCCCTGCAGATGAAAGATTTTACATCAATGCAGACTTATTAAACCAGAGACATGTACATCAGCATTTTCCACTCAACATAAAAGACTCAGTACTCACAATTACCTAATAAGTGAGTCAGGCCCGTAATACCTCACACTCAGCTATAAGCAGCATCCAGTGACTGACTTCCCATTTCTTTGTCAATTGCATTTGATAAAAGTTTAATAACTTCCATTGAATATCTTCTACTTACTATCGTAAAAAATTTTAAAAAGAAAAAGTCAATTAACCATATTCCTTTTATCAGCAGGATAATTTTGTCTTTTCTCAGTTAACCACCTTTTCTTTGCTTTTCCCTAAGGGCTTTCGCAAGGCATATGTTACAGAAAAAAATCGGGGTGGTGGTCGTTGGCTTTCCAGCCACCCCACTCGCAGAAGCCCGGGCTCGGTTTTGTATTTCAGCGGCACATACCCGGGAGATGTTAGACACGGTAAGTATAACACAGGCCAACAGGATCCAGTACCGGTGCTTTGGATGCTGAGCAAGTTCTTTAATGAGACAGCTTGGGGTTCTCAGGGTTTCTCTTGGGTGGTTTAGGAAAACAACACTAATTAAACTCACTGCTGAAAAACAAAGGAACATCAGCAGTGCCCAACAACGTGATCCACTCAGTAGACAGAAAAGAAAATCAATTAAGCTAAGACTTCAGTCAGTCTTTGGTTTCATAGAAAAGACTGAGTAGCTAAATGTTGTGCTGTTTACGTGTCCTGAAATGCAAAAGTTGATCTAAAATGCTATTTTAGCCTTAACCACCTATGTCCTGACATTTTCATAGGTACCAAATCTGCCATAATAAATTATGACCCAACTAAGCAACGTGTTAGAAAATCAACAACAAAGACGATCTACATTATATCAGCCAGGCCTAAGTGACATAGAAATTATTTTAAAACTGTATTTTATTGTCCCTTGATTTTAATTTTTATGTGAATGAGTAATGTCAGAGAACTAGGCCATCTCAATCAGTCTGGGGTTCATGGAAGAGTCTCATAATATCAACACAGTTTTGCAAACACAATTGAGTGTCTACTACTAGCAAACCATGAAGCAAAAATTCTAGGAGAAGCCACTAATAAATAATTAATGATAACACCAGACAGAATAAATTAATCTTGGAAAAGAAATATAGAAAACTGTAGGAGCATGAAGGTGGGAATGAATTATTATAATGGAGAAGATGTATACAGGAGGTGAGCTTTGAGGTAGGCCTTTTTTGATGAAAGTTGTGGAGCATGATTCAAGGTTTCTGACCAGTACAGCAACATAATCACATCACTATGAGATAAATGTGATATACGGATTGAAGAAGAAAAGGGCCAGAGGAAGGGACCCAAAATGGAGCTATTTAAACAAAACAAGAGATGGCAAGGCTAATGGCAGTGGAAACAAAAGAGATGAATCTAGGGACACACATTACAAATGTGTGGTGGAGTTGTCAAGGTTTGGCAAACAACTGAGTGCAGAGCATGTGTGGAAAGAGATAATTAGAGGTGCTTAGCCCTTGTGAATAGGATGGCAAAGCTTTTGAATGAGGTGAGGTACACAGTAAGGAACAGCAAATCTTCAACTGGAATGGGGGAGTCAAATGAGCCCAGGTCTAGACATGTTGAGGTTATGTGTCCATGGACCATCTATGGAAGAGAAAATCAGATTCCAGAGCTTAAGAGAATATGCAAGGCAGGAGCTGCTGTTGTTGAGAGAACTCAGAGCACATTCGAACCAATGGTAGAGGATGTGATTGTCCAGATACAAGTGAGAGTGAACAGGCCCCAGGCAGACTCCTCAAGACTGCCTAGATCCCAGGGTGGATGTCGGAATCACAGGTGGGGACCTGGACTTAGCTGGAGCTAGAGCGGTGAGAAAAGAGATAGTTTAGTGTAGTGTAAACACAGTAAAGAGGAGAACATATCAAGTAGGAGAAAGAAGAGAACTAAAATGCCCCTCCCCAAACTGTAGAAAATTCAAATGCAGTAAGAGATAAGAAGAAACTAGTGGATTAGCAATTAGTAGGGGCTTGATGTTTCTCAGAATGGGCGATATTAAAGGAATGCAGGGAACAGAAATAAGAATACAAAGAATAAAAGAGTGAAGAGGATAATTTGAGTTTGAATCATACACACACATGCACAGAGTGGCTGTGTCTTTCTTCTTCACCATGTTAGCCTCAGAACTTCATTAGACCAGTGTACAGCACACAGTAGGTCCACAATAAAAATGTATTGAGTAACACATTAACAACTGAGCTAACTATGTTTTGAGACGACAAGTGAAATGAGTGGCTGTTCTTTATACCTTTCTTTATTTCCCAGGTTCTCTAAGATGAGTATATATAATATTTACAGAGCAGGAATTTTAACAGATTGTTTCTTTTAAATGGAATGAGTTGGTGACAAAAAAGGGTTGGGCACTTTTTTTGGGAGTTTTGGTTTTCAATTCAAAGTTGGTTTTGGGAAAGCCCTTGAAAATGTGGAAGACTTGAGCACGTTCACACATGAAGGAAAGAGGACAGTGAAGACAAAGTTCTGCAGGGCAGGGGACGGAAGGACGTGGCCACGGAGCGAGCTCCTGGCAGTGGCAGGAGACATGGCCAGCAGGGAGGAATCTGCATTTTTCGTGGTCTGAGCAGCATTGAGGTACTCACATGTACCCAATTCTGTAGACGTCAGACCTTGTGATTTTCTTCGCAAGTTCTTAGTTGCTGCAGAATACCTGGTTTCCTGCAGCTAAACTTTTGAGATCACGCACCCATCTCAACAGAAGATTTTGAGCTATTCCTTAACATACACACAAGAGAAAGTGAAAAATGGCCCTGTTGAACACCCAGGGAATTAAGGGAGCAAGTGAATATAAAGGCCCACAAAATATTAAAAATAATATTAGACACATGCACTTGTTTGGAGCAAGACAGAGAGTAGGCCACTCTACAAACACCAAATGGCTTAACGTCTCCCTCTTCTGACTAATGTGTGTGACGGCTGCTCCCTTACCAAGGACAACTCCAGCCTTGCTTTCATCTTACGGCCTTCCAGATGAAAAATTACAAATAGATTGTCAGCCAATGAATCGCTCCTGCTTCTTGACAGCATCCGACCCAGAACTGGTCCCTGCTTCCTTAGAGTCAGCTCAGGCACAAGCCCTAACTCGATGAGAAGGCCCTCCCCCTGACTTCCTGTCACTGAGATGTCCAGGGTTCTTCTGATATGTCCTGTGCCACCCCCCGACCCACGCCACAGCAAGCTGACGAAACCTAACACTGTGTACACGTGTATTCCGGGTGGTCTTTGATTATAGGACTTTAACATAAACTATTTATAAATGATGTATGCATTACCAATATACTATGTACGTTATATAACAGATGCACAAATAGAAGTTAAAGAGGTTGAGATAAAAATGAATAGAAATCCTAATGTTTTCCTCCCACATCCCCTATGAACCATCTCATATATGCACTTGGAAACTGTTGAGCTAGTCCATCTTCCACCTGCAGTAAAGATCGATAGAAACTACCCCAGATAGATGTCATTTCAAAGATAACTTTTGTTACTTTTTCTTAGTACTTAGATTTGATGTAGGAAATTTACAAAAATAGGGAAGAACATTTTAACACCCATCCTACTACTGAGAAATGAATTACTCTTAACATGTTGGTGGATATATCAACTGATGTCAGTTTGAAAGACTTCCCCAAAAGAAAAGTCCATAAGCCCCATTAGTCACTCATTCTAACGTCAAAAGTCCCCACTTTACCCTTTCAAAGCATTAGACCCTAACATTATCTTCCGCCATATTTGACAGGTGGGAAAAAAAAACAGGCTCAGAAAGGTTAAGAAGGCATGCCCAATACTGTAGAATTAGTGATAGACTAGAAGTAAAAGTGACATTTTTACTTTCTGTATCTCAATTTTTTTTTGTAAAATTGGGGATACATTTGCCTATTTAAAGTAAGAGAGTTGAAACAGGTGAGTTCTTGGTCCCTTGTGCATTTTAAGGACACAGAGATGAGCATAGTGTGGGAGGATCGAGAAGATGAGGCTGATCAACTCCCACAAGATTCCACTTTGCTCTTGGACAGGTTGGGTTGCTGTGTCATGAAGACAACCTCAAATGCATTCTGCAACCTTATCTTTTTCTTCTATGAAGCTATACATTTTAAAAGAAAATTTAAAAAAACATAAAATGTCATTACATTTTAAAAGAAAACCTAAGGGTAAACATAGGTCAGATGTTTTTATCCCTCTCCACACACTCCCAAAATAAAATAAACATTCGAATGTGAGTTAGACCATTAAATAAAATGAATTAGCATCTAACATTTCTCTAGAACTTATAAACCACAACCTAATGATATGGACCTTGCTCCTTTTCTTTAAAATCAAAGAAGCTGGCAAATTAAGATAGTGGGTCTTTGTGAGACTTGCTATTATCCCGGGCTCTACAAAACAGAGCCACTTAGGAATTTCAAGATAGCTGATGGAAACCAATCTCATTGCAGGTTTTGGAAGCCATTGATGAAATGGGTGATCTCTTGCATCTGAAATATTCCCGGCACATGAAATCAGCGCGCCCTGAGCTCTATGATGAGACAAGCTTTGAACTTGAAGATTAAGTTTCCTGGTCCTGAATGAAACATAAAGACTTTGCCAGAAAGACCTCCCTCTTTGCCTCAGAGGGAATATAAATGGATTTCTCTCCCTTCCTAAGGACAATTTGGTTTCCAGACCAGTTTAATTGAACCGAGGGAAATACTGTCCTGTTTTTCATGTCTCCAGTTCGGGACTGCAGAGATAAAAACATGATTCCAGATTTAAGTTTCTACTCTCCCAAATATTCTGCTATGAATACACACACACACACACACTTCTTAGGATATTTTTTATGGCAATGAGCCTATGTTTTAGCTGCTACTGTGCAGTCCTTTTGGTCGAGACCCTTTCAGGGGTTCTAACCAAATAATAGAATTTTGATTTTTAATTCAGTAATCAATGTATGTGTTTATTTATTTCATCTGCAGACATGGGTGCAAGTGGTAGACAATACCTGCCCTCCTTGTTCTACCCATAAAAGGATCAGCTAGGACTCATCTGTATTATGGGAAGTTCTAGGCAGGAGGATAAAGAAATTGTTGTTTCTACCATTTGCCACATTTGGATGTTTTCCATGGACAAGTGTCAAAAGACGTAGTTAATGTTTCGAAGGAGAAAGCAGAACTGTCCAACAGCAACTAGAGATGTCCTCGAAGGAAACTTTCCTTTTCCTCTTGCTGGTCTTGTACAGTTTTACAGCTGAGCTTTTGAGGTTTGGAAAATTCAAGAGTTTTGTTTCAGAAGGGGGTAGAACACAAGCACAAGCCAATCTTAGGCCTAGACTAAAACTGTAAAGTTATAACAACTTGAATATTGGTGCTGTGCAGAGTGAATGTTTAGTATGCATATCCTTAATCACTTTAAGGAATGAATTGTCATTTTCATATTGGATTTTGAGTAAATGGTGAGATTCTATTTCCTTTAAAACTGACCCCCAAGACCACACTTGAAGAATGTATTGATTTAAGAAGAACTTTTAAAAGCAAACTCTAACTTTTTCAAGACTGACATCCCCGTTGAAGCCTAATAAATAGTATTATCACTTGGCACACACATTCTGAATTGGGTCAAAGTGGGCTTGCACGATTTTCACCAACTAATTGTAACTTACTTGCATTTTCTGTCTTTCTGTCTATCTGTCTCTGGATGTGAACACAAACTTCTCTGGAAAAGTAGCCCTTTGCTAATTGGATCTAGTTGGTGTGGAAAAAGCCCATGGTAAACCTTATCTTTAACAAGCTCCCAGATGGTGCCCAGATTTGGAAACTCTAAAGAGCAGTGGTGACCTTTTAGCAATGCTTCTGTAACAGTTTGAATGAGTTGCAGAACATTCCACTCCATCAAATGACACTGTAAACAAATCACTTCAAGAGAGGTTTGGCTTTGTGTGACACAGATGGACCCAAGCTTTCATGCTGTGCGCTGAGATAGAAACTTGACCCACAGCGCCAGTGTTGGATACAGCAGTGCTCCCTGATGCTCAAAGCCTGTTAAAGGAAAAAGGTGTTCAGTGCGGAAAGCTTTTTATGGGGAAATTATAACCCAAGTAGATACATCAGTTTAAAAGTGAACCACAATCACAGAGTTCCTTATGAATGTCTAAGAGTTGTAAGGAGTGCTGCTAGTGACGTGGGTTCTGAAAATGCAGTTGCCCCATCCAATGATGGATTTTGAAAACTAAATTGCAACTCTTCTCAATGAAACTGGTGTAGCATCACTTGTGCAAAGAACATGTATGTCATACATGTGCAAAGAAAGGAAGTGTGTTTATACTGGTAAAGTAAATTCATTCCATGGCCAACATTTTCTCCTCAATGGGACATTTTGTTCTCTCTTTCCAAGTAACTTTTCTTTCTACAAAAATATCTCCTGAATATGTGACTTTAAATGAAATTGCTCCTAGTTAATTGTCCCAAATGCATGAATGCCTTGAGTTTTATAAAGGAAAAAGGAGGGCAAGAGAACAATGAAACAGGTAAGTATTCTGCAAGGCATGCAATAAACACCCTCCTTCCTTTCTGGGTCTGCATCTTCACACACACCTTCACACCTAACTTTTGAGCTATAAGTCCCTAGATGGGTGTCTTCATGAGCAGGAATGTCCACCATTATTACTTCCATGGAAGAGCTTGAGTCTAATTCACATAGGAAAGTAATTACTTACCCTCCTAGCACAGGGGGAGGGGAGGGCAGGGAGGACGTTACCCCCTTTTCCTCAAGATCCAAGAGTCCTGGAGCAATTTATTACATTCCAATGTGCAAGAAAAAGGACTTATTTCTGTCAGAGTCTGTGTTGAACATACACTTACGGGGACAACTACAATCCAAGTGGAATGCTTCCCGAGTGCATCAGGAGGGCTCCAGATTCCACCACGGGGCTGATAGTATGAGTCTATGTCATATGGAAGAGCATAGGTTAGAAGAATAGTTGTGAATAATGAGATTCTCTAGTTTTTATAAGAAAAAGCTCTTTATGCTAGGTTAATAAGACCATGATTTTAATTCAATGGGGATCATTGAGTCTCGATAACTATTTAAGAGCCAAAAATGTCTCTTTGGTTGGGTCTGTTGGGAAAGAGAATTTTCTACGAGAACTATAATGTTAGGTACCTTCACCCTTCTATTTGCCTGCACACACACATTTTTGCCTTTACAGAGGAAGCAAGAGTATAAAAGTATAGAGAAGAGAATCTGGTTGGTCAATAGATAAATGGAAGATGTTGTTCTAGAAAATGGCCTTCAAGGAAGCAGAAGAGAAAGGTTCCACAGGATATTTGTAAGAAGGATACATCTGCATAACAGGAAAATGGCATAGACGTATTCCTAGTCTTAACATGAAACCATGGTGTCATGGACATTTAGCCACATTGCCTTTCAACATATTTTGATTGCCAAAATATGAGAACCAAATTATTGGACCTTTTGGTTTGATATACTAGTTGGCTCTAATAACATAACATGAACCTTATTTTGATTCTCTGTTGATAGTTAAGTGTGTTTATACTGGTAAAGTAAATTTATTCCATGGCCAACATTTTCTCCTCAATGGGACATTTTGTTCTCTCTTTCCAAGTAACTTTTCTTTCCACAAAAATGGACCGTATATTGTAGAATATTTCTGCCACTCATTTGGGCAAAATTATTACTTCTCCAGTTCTTTCATGTATCACTCCCTATAAGATGTCCATTTTCCTTTTCATCACCTTATTCCTAAATGTGGTGTGTTTTTCCTCCTTTCTCTTCCCTTTAAAAAACAACCTCTAACCTCTGATTATTTATTTATTCCAACAGCTCTTTTTTTCCACAGATAGCAAATATTACTATTTAGAAATAGTAATATTTTTACTCTGATTTAAAAATCCAAGTTCTTATGATGAAAACTTGACTCTCTTAAATGTATACTTTGATTTATAGCAATAATAACAATTATAATACTAGCAATAAGAACAGCATCTGGTGAATTCTTACAATTTGTCCTGGTCTCAAAACAGTAAGAACAACATATTTGAAGTCTGCTCTCTCAGAACACCCTAGCCAGTGGTGTAATTTTTGGACAAATTAAAAGGAATCTGTATTTTAAATGTTTCTAGGCAATTATAATGGGACATGTCTTTTGGTGTCATAATGCATTCGGGGTGTGTGTGTGTGTGTGTGTGTGTGTGTGTGTGTGTGTGTGTGATGTGTATGTTTCACTGAAACATTTGAGATGACAAATTTCATTTCATTCTGCCTGTGAATGTTAGTTTCTTTAATAAACAAATCACCAACATTGACAGTATAAAAAAATAATTGGTGGTTTTGTGTTGATTTAGTTCAGGTTGTCCTGAAAAAGAAAGACTGAGATGGAGATCTGCATTTAGGAATTTCATTGGAGAAAATTGGAAGGGGTAGCTGGAGCTGGCTTACACTGTGATAAGAGCCAATTGTTCCCATCTCCTCATTCAGTGACATCACAGTGGTAGCTTGAAATTGACCACAGTGGGAGTACTTAAACTATGGAAATTGACAAACACTACAAATCAGGTATCTAGAGAGCTAGCTGGCTGTTAAACATTTACCAGCATGCTTCTGAGACCACATACAACTAAGGGACAGAATTCGAAAGAGGGAGTAGTTGAACTGTGATGTTATCATAGCAAAGGCCTTAGTCAATTCCATGGGGAACTGTGCAACTGAGATGATCCTTTAGGACTATCTCAAATTGACACAGGAAGCCAGGCCATGTCCTCCCTACACCAACCAGTCATTGGATACAAGATACTAGGGTAGAGGTGTGGGGCAGGAAATTACCTTGGGCAAGACAACTCTATTTGGCTAAAGACAACTCACAGGGAGGGACCTAGCTGTGATTTATTATTTAAAAATGTATTTCTAATCCACCCACTCAGAAAAAATGTTTTACACTGTAGAATATACATACATATATACACAATATACATATATACACTGTATATACATACAGTTATTTTGAGAGAATAGTATAATGAACCCACATTCACCTTGTTACCTAGCTTCAAACATTATCAATTAATGGCCAGTTTTTTCATCTATCCCCCTGCCCACTACATTCTCCCTCCCACCAGATTACTTTGAAGCAAACCCCAGAAATCATATCATTTCATCAGTAAATATTTCACTGACTGTCTCTCAAAGGTAAGGTGTCTTAATCTGTTACTCCTTTCCACCTCATTGAAAGCTAAGTCTTCAGCATAACAAAGGCACCAAAATGAGTCAAATGTTATTCTTTCCTTTCTCTATTTCATAGTCTGCATGTAAACTCCCTGGATCAAAACTAGGAATTATTTCTAAAGTCAGTAGATGGTGTCTTGAAAGATAATAAAATAATCATTTTTTAGACACTTGCCATGAGCCACACTGTACTAAGAACTCCAACATACACTATCTTCTGAGTATTCATGTAGATATTAATGATGGATTCATCTTGGAAGGCAATAGTATTTCAAGTTGTAAGAAGATCGATTAGCAACGTATGAAGAGGACTTCCAAGACTCTGGTGGTACGTTTTTTTCTTGGCATGCTTATCCTCTTCCTTATCAAATCAATGTTCCTCAAAGGTTATTTTAGCTAAACTATACATGAGCAGGAGTAATTCAATCCAGAATAAGAGAACGAGTGAAACCTGTTTAATTATTTGGAAAAGGTTGACATCTATGCCAGCCTGGGCTTAAGGTAGGACTTGTTATTCTAATTCTCGTTGCATGCATCCATCCCTTGGTCCAAATGAGAGGTTGAAATCTCACATTGCAAGTCAACTTTTTAAAGAAGTTACCACAGATACACATCAATCAAATATCTACCAACAGCAGGTCAGAATAGGAGTAAAAGGATATGTATATATATTTTTTGCCAAAGCATGAAACAGTGCTCCTTTTATTCAACCAAGATGCCAATTTTTATATCAGAAATATTGATTGAAAGGGCTAGTGATTTTGGCTCTCACCCAAGTTTATTCAGGATCTTTCTTAATTAGGTTTGGGTTGGCTGCAGTGCCCATGGCCAGGGGTAGGTCTGGCTCCAATCACCACATCATGTGCTCTTCTTCATCCTGGGCCAAGGACTAAGGCAAGGAAATTGCTGCTGCTTTGTTTCTCCATCCTGTAAGTATATTTTTTTCCCAGCTTTGAAGCACGCATGGAGTAAATGTGTAAAGAAGACCAAAAGAAGTGTAATGGCTTTGCTGTGATGAGATCAATCTACCCTACAACTTGACTGTGATCCCCAGCATGAATAAGGCTCTGTGTCTGAAAAATGAATGGGTAGCAATATGAGGTCATGGAAAAAGATCTTGGCATCTCTTGAATGAAAACTTTTCAACAGGCTAATGCAACCAATCAGTCTATGAGTATTTTTAAAGAGTAAAATAATCTCCTTGCCAACAATACATGATTTCCCCATAATGTGTCTGTTTTATAAATAATAGCAAATGTCATGTAACCAGTTATAGTGTCTATATCAATTTTATATAATTTATACCAGTCTTCCATCACACACATAAATCTTCAATAAATCATAGTCGTAAAATATAGACACCTATAATGTATAAAGGAAAATGGGTTTTCCTTTATAGATAAAATAATGTGTTGGTATTAAAAAATATAATTCTGTTCCCCTAGAACATTTTCAACAAAATAGCTATGAAGAGTTTCTAACTCATAAAAAATTCTTAAATAAAACTTCAAAGTATAAATTTGTAAGAGATTTTAATGATGAGATAATGCTAAGTGGAATCAACCAAATGCTAAAGATTTGGGGCTGTAAGTCCTACATACAATAAATGTTACAAGTACATTACATAGAAAAATTAAAATATTTTATTAACTTGAGTCCATCTCTAGTAAGATAGAAATAACTTTTAATAATTATCTCAAGGCAGGTGCAGTGGTGCACACCTGTAGTCTAGCTACTCAGGAGGCTGAGTTGAAAGAATCTCTAAGGCCCAGGAGCTCAAGGCCAGCTGGCCTGGGCAATATAACAAGACCTTGTCTCTTAAAAAAAATGAGAGAAATAATAGAAGAACTATTTCTCTGAGGCTAACACAAAGCAAATGATGAAAGTGAGCTAGTACGTGCTAAGCTGATAAATATAAAATACTTTTCATCTAAACAAATCTTCATGAAATGTTTACAAGGATAAAGAGAACTTAAAAGTTTCCAGCAAGACAAGAAGAAAACAATCTCATCTAAAAGGTAAAAGTAACTGATTTTGACCATTGAAAATTACAAACATGTCTTCCAGAAAGTTCATATCAACTTCACATCCATTAACAGGAAATACCCCTTAACAGGAAATTCTTATTTCCCCAATCTGCACCAATGCTAAGTATCAGCATTTTTATAATCTTTGTCAATATGAAAGGGGAAAAAGGGGGTTCTCTTTAATGTATGATACCCAATTACTTGTGATATATTTTTTTCATATGTATATCTGCTGCTTGTATTTGTATTTGTCTTTTACACATTTCTTGTTGGTATGGTCTACCACTTTTTCTATTGTAAATGTCTCATTAGCAATACTAGATGGTAGAAGACAATGCAGCACTATTTTCAGAATTCGGAGGGAAAATAATTTTAAATCTAAAATTCTATATCCAGAAAAATCTATCTAGTCAAGGGCAAAATAGGGAGTTTTTTAACATGAATTATTCAGAAAGTTTACTTCTTCCGTACTCTTTCTTTAAAAAACACATGATGAATACTCCAATAAATACTTCCAAGTGAAAAAAAGATATGATATCCAGAACAGAGTAGAATTAATCCAAGAGTATAATGAAAAGAAATCTTGGAATGATAATTTATAGTGAAAGTAGATTAAACTGTTTTCACAAAAGGTGGCGGGTTATGTTTTGCTCCTATAGAAGTCCCCTTGAGTGTCTGGTTGGCAAGCACTCTCCTCCACATGGTGTTTCAGGGACCCAGGCTATTTTCCAGCCTGTGGCTCCACCAACTCTAGGACTCTGTCATTGTATGTGTGGTTGATGTTTCAGATTTCAGACCATGGAAAAGGAAAATTGCGCATAGAAGAGGCCTCCTCTTAGCCCTATCTGATGATTAACTTAACTCTGGCTCTTTAGACACATTTTGCAAAGGTTGGCAAGCCCTGATTCCATGATGCAAAGGGAGTATCCAGGGATATTTAAGAACCAGAATTACTGCAGATAATGCCTAATATCTCAGTTCCTAGAAATCTATCC